TGGGTCCTTGTGACACACGGGGATGGGGGCAGCCAGCGCTCAACCTGTCATCCACGTGGCTGGCCTTGTACGTAAGAGGTTATGAACAGGTGGAGCTTTCCTTACCTCCTTCCCTTTCCCTTTTTTCCTTTTCCTTTTTTCTTTTCCCTTTTTTGCGCTCTGATTCACAATGTGACAATATATATCCACAGAATCCAGTAAAGAGTTGTATATGTTTTTCGTGGCGAGGCACTGGAGCTGCACCGCCTTTCTCTGCGTCCTACGGGCCAGCCATTACCACTCCCCCGGGTCCCACAGCAGGTCCCGCCTTCGGACCGCTACTGGGAATGACAATATTGTCCTCTCGCCTTCGGGCCCCCTTTCCACACCGCCACCGTCTGTATCCTGCTCCTGTTTCGGGGACCCTCTCTTGTGCAGCACATTCCCGGAGGGGGTCCCACAGTCCTTCATACCCCGAGCCCACCTGCCAGGCCGTCACCTCCAGAATATCATCTGCCAGGACCTGCTCGACCCTGTAGACTCTCTTCGGTCTCGGGCTCCCTTTCACCCTCACCCATTATCCCGGGGATATCTCATCTCTTCGTAACATCTCAATCCAGTGAGGTGGGATGGCGTCCCGCAGTTCTCCGAGCCTTTGCCTTCTTCTCATCCGTTCCTGCAGCGATTCCAGCAGCTCATTATCGGGGCGCCAGTCCTTCCGGTCCTCGTCCCATAGATGCCCTACTTTATAGATTCCCTGTTCCGCCCATTTCCACCCAAATGCTCCTCGCAGGCCATGCCACGGAAAGGACTCGCTGGTCTCATGACAAATGAATTTGTTGTCGAACAGCAGCTGGTTGTAGACTGCATCCGCAGTTTCCGGTAGACGGCAGCAGCCGGGCAGCTTAAACATGTCTTCTTCCACAGCGCCAGCTCAGCTTTGTGGACCATACCGTGTCCCTGCGGATGTGGCCTATTGCCGTGTGGCTGAGGAGGCACAGATCCACCAGCTCCCTGGGTATCTGGAGTGCATATGCCAGGTGAGTCCTGGTGAGTTCTTGCCAAACCCCCCTGACTGTGCCCAGCAGGTGCCACACCAACTGATGCAGCTGCAGTGTAATTATCTGCAGCCACGGGTCCAGCAGTCCCAGGCCTCCAAAGCGCCTTTGCTGAGTAAGCTTGTTCCGGGCCACTCTGCATATGGAGTCCTCCGCCTGCGCATTGTTCGACCATAAATGTGCGTGGATCGCTTTCCTGAATACCTAAAGGTACGTTTGCCCGACATATGCACGGCCCCTGCATACCACAAGGTGGCAAGCACTGAGCTCCTGATAACCAAAGCCTTCCCTAAGACGCCCGTGCTCCCTCTTGCACTCCATGCTTTGAGTCGGGCCACCGCCGCCGTAGCGCGGACTGCCATCTGTTTGATCCCGCCGTAGCTTGGCATCAGGTCCGCTCTTTCGTTCTCCTTCTGTTACTGTGGGGATGTCCCATCCCTCTGGCTGGTTGACCTCTGGCGGGAGAATGGCCTTTGATTTCTGCCAGTTGACCCACGCCCCGGAGTACTTGCAGAATATGTTTGAAGGTCGTCTTTAAGTACAGCCAGCTGCTGGGCCGTCGGGGGGATCACTTCGACTCCATTATCGGTCCAACTTTCAAGGCAGTCAGTCTATCATCCGCCCTCAAAATATTGTGCATGGACTCAATATAGATGACATGAAGGGCCGGAAAGAGCGGGCAGCCTTGCCTGACTGATCGAGTGAGGTTGAGCTTATCCGATCGGACGCCGTTAACTTGCAACACTGTTGTTGCCCCCGTCAGCGGGCTTCTAACCCAGCTGCAAAATATCCCCCCTATCCCGCTATGTGCCATTCCCTGTAGCAGGAACTCCCATCGGACTCGATCATACAGTTTCTCGAGATCAATGGAGTCGAAAGCCGCGGCACTGCCTATGCATCACTCCTCCTCCAGGACCTGCTGTGCCAGGAGTGCGTTGGACAAAATCTGACGGGCCGATACGAACCCCGTCTGGGTGCAGTCTATAAGGCTTGGCAGCACTTCTTTCATCCAGGTTGCCATCACTTTGGCCAAAATCTTATGTAGTGCATTAAGAATAGATATCGGCCTCCAGTTCCGCATGTCCTCCTTCGCCACCTTTTTATAGAGCAAGACGACGTATGCTTCTGCGAAGCCTTGCGGGAAGGATCCATGTTGAAGCGCTTCATTGTACGCAGCCGTCAGCAGGATCACGAAAAAGTTGTGGAACTCCTTATATAATTCCATCGGCATCCCGTCCAGGCCTGGAGCCTTGAGGCGGGGAAGGTCCGCAATGGCTCTCTCCACTTCCTCCATCTTAATGTCTTCTTCTAGTCTGCAAGCACTTGCCAAATCCAGCCGATTGCGGATATGCCTCTACACTGCTCGCTCTGGCTCCTTGGCATATCCTCTGGTGTCCAGTCTTCCTCTTCAGTTAGCAACTGGCGGTAGAAGCCCGAGATGCATTTCAGAATCCCCTCAGTGGTACGCTGTGTTGCCTGGTTGTCGTCAAAGTGGTGGTCCATCGCTGTCATCTGCGGTGCTACTTTGCGTGTGTCCACTGTAGCAGAGAACCTTGGTGCCATCCGTTCTTCCACCGCAATCCATGACTCCTTAGTTCGCCTCCCCCATTTGATCGCTTCCTCCCGCTGCCATTCCCTCCATCCTCGCACCGCCTCCGCCCGCTCAGCCCACCATTCATCCTCCTTTTGCTCTCCTGCCGGGCCACTGTTTAATTCCTCCATTCTTCGGGCATGCTTTTCCTCCGTTCATTGATGCGCCAAGTAGCTGCAATGCAGCTGTTTGACCAGCAGTTCTCGCAGGTCCTGAGTTGCCGTCGCAACGTGGGCCAGCAGGTTCTCCGGTGGGCAATCGTTTATCCATTCCTCCCAGAACTGGGCCACCTCGGGCTGGAACTCCGTGCTTTTGAAGACCCATGCCGGGATCGTCTTCGGAGGGTGGTCCATCTCCAACTGGGCCCATAGGGTAGCTTGCTATCACCGCTGAGTGGTCCGATGTCATTGGAGATATGCGGCCCTGCTCTATCGCCTCATTCAACATGTCATTCTGCGACTATGTATTATTATTTCGGCACCCACGAGACATGGCATTCCGGCACCCACCGGCACCCATGTGTGCAGGGACCGTGTGGGGACTGTGGGGCCATGTAGCCATAAAGGACCACGTGGGCAATATGGGGTCACGTAGGCAGCAACCAATGTCTTGGCGGACCCTGGTTTGGTTTCACTTAAGCAGTAGTAATATGTAGTAGATCAGCAGTTGACGCCATCCATGTGGCAGGACATGACTGGTTCGGCAGCCTGTTGATGAAGCAAGCATTTGTCTTGCCGGTTTAGACAGTATTTCGGTTTGCAACTCTTTATGTTGTTCTTAGGCATACATAGAGAGACATAAATTGTTATCTGGTTGTTTTTGGATTTTGGAGGAGCGGGTGTTGCCATGGTTGGGAGTTCCCCATTGTTTTCTGAGAACAATGGGGCAGTCGTCTGGCGGGTCGGTGGATGGATTGAAATGGCGGTGATTGAACTGTTGTCACATTCATCTGTGAATCGGATACTGGCAGTGGTTTGACTGGCGGTGGTTGAACCGTTGTTACGGTCGTCCGTGAAAACGAATTAACTGCGGCCTGATTAAATGTTTTGTGCTTTGTGCATTGTGCTGCTTTGTGCATTACACTTTGTGCATTACACTTTGTGCATTGTGCTGCTTTGTGCATTACACTTTGTGCATTGTGCTGCTTTGTGCATTACGGTTTGTGCTTTTCGCTGCTTTGTGTATTGTGCTTTGTGCTGCTCTGTGCATCGAGCGTTATCCTGCTTTGTGCTTTCTGTTTTGTGTTCCAGGTGTGGGATGTTCTGGACCCACTGCAAGAGATTGCTGTTGGCGGGGCTACAATTTCCCTTTTTAGCAAACGTATGCAGTTGAAGAGGGGGCGGCAGAAACTACGGCTATGGCTTGGGAGAGTGGCTGACGGTTCTGTGCCCACCAACACCCCTGGTAAGGTATGTCCTCTTCCCCCTTCAAATGCTCACTTTTGTGAATCTTAAAACTGCAGAGGGTAGGAGCAGCTTTAATGGGCAAAGGAGAGAGGTATAGGGGGCTGGACAACTAAGGTTGGGATGTATTCAGAGTCCAGATAGTGGAATGAGAATAGTGACAAAAACTTGAACTTTGGTTGCGAACTGAACAGGTGGATGGCTGTCTCTTATACACATCTAGATGTGTATAAGAGACAGCCATCTAGGAGAAAAGAGTTTTTGGCCTCTGTTTA